TGCCAACACCCCCCCCCCGCACTTGACGTACGATGACGTCGTCGACGTAGCTGATGACGGTGTCCATCATCTCCTGTATATGCGACGAGGCCTCGGTGACGCGCTGAAGGTCGGACACCATGTTCACCGTCCGCTTCACATTGTACTTGCCCTTCGCTATCGAATTCACTGCAGAGGAGAGGGAGAACGACGGCCACCAGCGATTACGAACGACAGCATTACGATATAAATTTAACATGTAATCATATTTTTTTAATATTTAATATTAATTATTAACAGGATGTTAGCTAGCAATCCGTATCTCTATCTTTTCCACGACCTACTTTTCCGTACTATACGGTCAATTTTAATCGTAACAGTTGACAACGGCCTCGCACTTACTACAGTCGATAAATTTATTGATATGCACAATTCTTATTTCAACTTTTACTTTCTATAAAGTTATACCATGAAAAATATATGAACACGTGTAAACAACACGTGGCGATTACGAAGGATGATTATTTTAACGACTGTTTTTAGCGAAATAACAAGTTTATCAGGAAATTCTCTTACCTCCCGTCCTCTCGGGCTCCCAGTAGGTCATTTCAAGGGGTATGGGTGTGAACATAGTGCCTACGCTCTTTCCTGGTACGCCCATTGATGAACTGCATGGCATAAATATATCATCATTGTATCACCATATCAATCCAAAGAAACATACCACACTGAGAGTGTGAGCTACTTATATAAGCATAATTTCAGTCCCTGAATTACCGAAATGCGATAAAACACAATGAAACAAATCATTTAGCTAACTGCAGAATTCGTACCCACGAGAATATGTGCACTAAAATCTCTTGCGATGTCATCGACATTGAATTTTCATGCTCTTGCCTGCAAGCGATAACACACCTGACGTAAACGTTCATTCCCATGCGAGAGCCTTTCAGTGGCGTGTCGACGGTGAGATGTATGGGATTGTGGCATTCTCTAGTGTAGTACTCGTGTATCAAGACGGAATAGGCCGTCACGTCGTTTCCCGTCGCATACCTGCAGAAGTGGATCGTACAGATTCATCTCGCTATCTTACTCTTGACAATTAAAAAAGTGGAGTGGGAAAGAGTGGTACTGTTTTTGCGGTTTCTCATGCTCACCATCCACTGTGGCAACCAAGTATATTATAATAATGACCCACCTGCCTACTATTAGTATTACATTTTCTTTTGAGGGGTGGCAGACTTTGATAACCTGCGGGTTCTTTCACCAATCCTGTGCTTCCTTTGTAAACTAGATTAACTATGACTTGTATACTTCCTATTTGCCGCTGTACACTGTATATACACGACTTATGCACAAAATAAACATCTTGAATCTTGGTATTCCAATGCTACATGTTACACGTAAGATTTTAGGTAAAATGACTGCGAATCAAAATGCATGTTATTATCACCATTATTATATCGTTAGCATCGTAATAACCAGACAATGAACAGCTTCTGGTCATCTTTATCTGAAATTTGTTACTCAGTGGTCTTCGACATAAACATGAAAATTTTACATTAAAAGTAACTTTACTATTAATAGCACTAAATTATTATTAACGTTACACACCATCCAACTATCGCTTCGGCTGCGTTGACCTTTTTGTGTAGGTCGTGCATATTTCTAGCAAATTCCATATCTACAGCAACCTCGTCTTCCGACTCATTGTGTGGAACTGTGAAGCAGTTGGTAACTTCTATCACTCCCTTCTCCACCGTCCCTGCAAACACAAAACCACTTTAAGTATGAGTACTGGTATGAACAAATTCAGCGTCATGATACAGTGAATATTCACACTAACCCTGGGAATGCGAAAATGTGTTTTCTGTGTTGGACAATGCGTCTTTCAGTGAGCTGAACTGTGCCAGACACACTGAATTATTGCCGTCCTTTGAAGTCAGTAATAAACGTCGAATGCCCACTGGCCGAACACTAGTTAGCGCGACCTAGGACATCCAACCATGATTCCGTTAACAATCCTATTGTAAAAGAGACAAGACGCTAAAGGCCAATGTAATGAGACCTTTTCTGCATACAAAGACCTGTGCGATTTTGGTATTTCAACTGGCGTTTGGTGACATTTTAAACGTTACACGAGACCAACAAGACTTGGTGAAGATGACTTTAGAAACTTTCACGATTTCAAAATAAACATATGGCCGCTTTGCACCAACTTTACAGGTTTCGTAAACCTCCTCGTGTAACTGTCGGTAGATCTGGCAATATAGGACATCCATCATACACTCTCATTATTAACTATGCCAACTTCTTTAAGTACTAGAAAAGAAACCCTAGTAGTAGTAGTAATACTAGTAGTAGTAGAGTAGTAGTACAGTGTCAGGGATGCCTGTAAAGTGAAAGTGACTGTCTGTATCATCCAAACGAACAGTCGCATCAGTGAAAGAAATGAACAAATACATTAACTAAAACAACTCGCAGGATAATTATAAGACGCCTAACCTAACAAGGTTCCTATGACGCGCCTAGCATCTTCATTTCGCCGTTCATATGAGTCTACAATCTGGAATAATACCACTGGATGGACACGAACAACCAAATCAGTCGCCATGCTTCTTGCTTCCACGGTGCGCGCGTTCCGCCCTCTATAACGAAAAGACCATCTACTCTAGCCATGGCGGACGTATTAGATGTGAAAGCCGAAGATGAGGAGGAATTTGAAGTTGACGAAGAGGGTGATGGTAAATAAATTACGTTAAATTACGCCAGATTAATATCATTTTAAGTAAACAGTTGTTAATTTTCGGCAGTTTAGCATTGCAGGGCTACTAATGCTCTGCTTATTGAGGTGTACCGCATTGCCATTGTGATCGTGACCAACGACAACATGAGACCTGATGTCAGTGATGTGATGATACAAGGGCCCGGAGACGCTTAAAAGGCCTACAGCCTACAGCCCCATAGTGCAGCTACAAGTCATGGGTCGAAATTCGCTAAAAAAAACACTTGCGCACGTTGCAAGTTAGGTTAAACAATTACTTGCGCCAAGAGATTTTTACTTGCACTTACATCTGTTGCTCTCCAAACTGGCAGGACCCCTTGGCCATTCCCTTCCTCCCTGTTTTAGTTTAGGCCGTAGCTACGCGACCGCACACATGCACAGCTCTCTCTCTCTCTCTCTCTTTCTCTCTCTCTTAGACACACCTCTAACTCTCTCTCTCTCTCTCTCTCTCACGCATACACACACACACATACACATTCCCTCTCTCTCACTTTCTCACACACACACACACACGCGGAAACCAGCAGAGCGTCCCGTTGCGCAATCATGCGTGTACGCAAGTCGCGCGATCACTGTGTGAGTGGATGTCCGGATGCATAGCCTGAAGGTTAGGCGACCGGTTCCGGACGCGTAGCCACTGCATTTAGTTTATGATTTATTCTATATCTTCTGTGTCTTCCTGCTCTGATTCAGAGTCAGTGTGACTGTCATCTTGTCAAACTGACAGAAATCAAAATAAAATGGGTCTGACTTTTAAATACGTAAGTAGCTGGCATATTGTTGACTTGCGGCAGCCGCAAGTTGCTACAAAACATCGCTTGCGTTCGGGGAAAAACACTTGTGTTGCGCAATCACTATATAGTGAATTTCGACCCCTGCAAGTGTTTTGTTTTTTTCCAAATTTGGCCGGAATTTATTAATTTTGCACTCACCACAACTTAATTGACCGGCTTATTGATGCCAAAATTGTAGTAATTTATTAGTTTACG